GTGTTCAGCAGGGAGTCTGCTTCTCCCTCTGACCCTCCCCCCTCTCATGTGCTCTCTCTCTCTCTCACTCTCTCAAATAAATGAATAAATAAAATCTTTAAAAAAATAAAATAAAATTGGGTAGACAAATCTACCCACTTTATTTACGCTTTATTCTAATTGCTTTAGCGATTCTAGTGCCTTTGCCTTTCCTTATAAATTTTAGAATAATCTTCATCTATATCTACAAAAATCTTGTTGAGGTTTTTATAGGAATGGTGTTAAACCTATATATCAATTCAAGAATAATTGTCATGCTTACTATGTTGAATCTTCCAATCCATGAACACATTATATCTCTCCATTTATATAGAGCTTTGATTTCTGTCATTAGCATTGTGTGGTTTTCTGCATAGAAACCCTATACATTTGTCATTAGATTTACACCTGTCTTTCTTTCTAGCAATTGTAAATGGTATTGTGTTTTTAATTTTGATGTCCATGTGTTCTCTAATATATGGAAATATGATTTATTTTTATATGTTTATCTTGTGTCCCATGACCTTACTGAACTAAATTATTATTTTTAAAGATTTTATTTTTAAGTAACCTCTACACCTGACGTGGGGCTTGAACTTGCAACCCTGAGATCAAGAGTTGTATGCTCTACTAACTGAGCCAGCTGGGTACCCCTGAACTAACTTATTAATCCTAAGAGAGTTTTTGGCATATGTTGATTCCTTGGGATTCTCTATGAAGGCAATCATGTCATCTGCAAATAGGGACACTTTTATTTCTTCCTTTCCAATCTGTATGCCTTTTCTTTCTTTTTCTTGCCTTCTTGTGCTGGCTAGAAGTTCTAGTACTATATTGAATAAGAGTGGAGGGAGTGGATATCCTTGCCTCATTCCCAATCTTAGGGGAAAACATTCCATTTTTCTCCATTAAGTTTATGTTTGCTGTAGATTTTTGTAAATGTTCTCTATGAAGGTGAAAAAGTTCTCCTCCATTGTTATCTTCTGAAAGTTTTTATCATAAATGGATGTTTAATTTTGTCAAATGCTTTTTCTGCCTTGATTTATATGATTATATGATTTTATCCTGTTACTATGATGGATCACATTGGTTGATTTTTTTAAAAAGATATTATTTATTTATTTGTCAGAGAGAGAGAGAGAGCACAAGCAGGGAGAATGGCAGGCAGAGGGAGAAGCAGTCTCCCCACTGAGCAAGGAGCCTGCCCAATGTGGGGCTCAATTCCAGGAGCCACCCAGGTATCCCTGATTTTTGAATATTGAACCAGCCTTACATTCTTAAATAAATTCCATTTGGGTATGGCAAATAAATTCCTTTTATGTAATGCTAAGAAAGAAAGAAAAGAAAGAGAGAAAAAGAAAGAACAGACTCAATATGGAGTAGCTTGCCCCCACAGCAAGCTAAAGCTTAATTGCAGAAATGTGACCTTTATTTTTTTAAAAGATCTTATTATTTTTTAAGATTATTATTTTTATTTTTTTAAAGATTTTATTTATTTGAGAGAGAGAGAGAGTGAGAGAGAGAGAGCACACAGCAGGGAGAGGGGCAGAAGGAGAGGGAGAAGCAGGTTCCCCTCCAAGCAGGACCCCCGAGATTATGACCTGAGCTGAAGGCAGACACTTAATTGACTGAGCCACTCAGGTGCCCCTAAGATTTTATTTTATTTTATTTATTTATTTATTTATTTATTTATTTATTTATTTATTTTTATTCTTATGTTAATCCCCATACATTACATCATTAGTTTTAGATAAAGTGTCCCATGATTGATTGTGTTTGCATAACACCCAGTGCTCCATGCAGAATGTGCCCTCCTCAATACCCACCACCAGGCTAACCCATCCCCCCCTCCTCCTCCCTTCTAGAACCCTCAGTTTGTTTTTCAGAGTCCATCGTCTCTCATGGTTCATCTACCCCTCCGATTTCCCCCACTTCATTCTTCCCCTCCCGCTACCTTCTTCTTCTTCTTCTTTTTTTTTTTTTAACATATATTGCATTATTTGTTTCAGAAGTACAGATCTGAGATTCAACAGTCTTGCACAATTCACAGCGCTTACCAGAGCACATATAAGATTTTATTTTTAAGTAATCTCTACACTCTACTTGGGTCTCAAACCCACAACACTGAGATCTAGAGTCACATGCTATACTGCCTGAGCCAGCCAGGTACCCCAGGTCTGTGCCCTTTAATAGTCAATCTGAAATCTCCTGATCAGCACTAGTTTAAGTAATCTGCATGATAAAAGCCACCTCCCCACCCAGCCCCCAAGAAAGGGGATCTTGCCTGAAACGATATATTTTTTTTCTTTTGTTAATAACTTCCTTGGTCAGAGGTTTCTGCCTATAAAAAGCCTTAAATTTTGTACAGCTCCTTAGATCCCCTTTCTATCTGCTAGATGGTATCCCGCCAGATTCATGAATCATTGAATATAGCCAATAAGATCTTTAAAATTTACTCAGTTTAGGGGCACCTAGCTGGTTCAGTTGGAGGAACGTACAACTCTTGATCTCGGCATCATGAGTCCAAGCTCCTTGTGGGGTGCAGAAATTACTTAAATAAATAAAACTTAAGAAAAATAAAATTTACTCAGTTGTATTTTATTTTTTTAACACACCTACCAAAACATACAACATTACTGTTATTTCAGGAAATTACCTTACGCCCCTTCCCCCTGTCAGTGTCTGCCCTTTTTCCCGGAGGGGCAACCATAGTTTGTAGTTGATGTTTACACCACTGTTTTTGTTTGTTTGTTTTTAAGTAGGCTCTACCCCCAGCGCGTAGTCCAATGTGGGGCTTGAACTCAAACTCTTGAAATCAAGACCTGAACAGAGGTCAAGTTAAACACCCAACCAAATGAGCCATCCAGGGGCCCCATACACCATTGTTTATTAGGCAATACCCTGGCTCTTACCTGTATCCCCATCACCCGTACTGAATAAGCCCACCCCATGATTTAAAGTTGGAGCGCCTGGGTGGCTCAGTCAGTTGAGAGTCCGGCTCTTGATTTCTGCTCAGGTCATGATCTCAGGGTCGTGAGATCCAGCCCTGAGTGGGGCTCCCTGCTCAGTGGGGATTCTACTTGAGATTCTCTCTCCCTCCCCCTCTCCCGCTGCCCCTTCCCCTGCTTGCTCTCTCTCTCTCCCTCAAATAAATAAATCTTAAAAAAAATAAAGTCTACATTTGTAGACTTTCATACAAGAGGATCACTTCTATTTTATCTTAGAGAAATAATCCCAAAAATACCATACGGAAAATATATTTACTATAGTGTTATTTTTGCAATGAAAACACGAAACCCTGAAAGTCTAGCTCTAGTGGAATGATTAAGAGTATTTGAAACTTTCATCTAAAACTAATGATGTAATGTATGGGGATTAACAGAATAAAAAAAAAGAGTATTTGAAGCTCTGGTGACACAGACCAACTTGGATGCTTTAGATAGGAAAAACTTTGACAATGTTTTTGACATAGTTATTTCTGTTTAACTAAGGGTGTAACCTGTATGTATATTTTTCAAATGTTCCTTTAGAAGAGGCTTATCCCCAGTACCCTCGTTATGACATTTAACACATTCCAGGACCAACCCAAGCTAAAGCTTAAGAGAACCTGCTTGCCTACTTCTTTTCTCTGGCCCAAATCTCAGTGCCCTTGCCCTTCACCGGCAGGACTGTCATTTCATAAGGTTGCAGATAAAAACATCTGTCCATTTATGAGAGTCAGGAGGAGAGGGATACAGAGGGGAACAGGAAAAGGAGTCATTATCACATGGGCTTTGTTTTTCTGTTTCATTTTCTATCATATGCACTTTTTGAAATAGAGTATTCAGCAATAACCTGACCCTCACACTGTCCTTGTATTATCTTGTGTCCTAGTTCTACAAGGTGAGTTATTCAGTATATCCTAAGGGGAGGGGGGAAAGACCGTTACACACACACACACACACACACACACCCTCTACCATTCATTTCCTCCCTTCTCCTACCCAAACCTACAATTCCCTCTTTCAAATGACTGTTGTGGGGGCACCTGGGTGGTATAGTCTGTTAAGCGTCTGCCTTCAGCTCAGGTCATGATCCCGGGGTCCTGGGATCGAGCCCTACAGAGGGCTCCCCACTCAGCAGGAATCTGCTTCTCCCTCTCCACCCTGCTTGTGTTCTCTCTCTCTCTCAAATAAAATATATATTTTTTTAAAAAAAGGACTGTTGTGAAGACAATGTTAACACAGAATTATGTGAATGACAAATTATCAACACAGAAAAAAAACAATAAAACTTTTTATCATTATACTTAAAAAGATGAAGACCAGAGAAAAATATATCCCAAATGCCAACAACGGTTTTGTGGAATCTAAATTTTTTTTTGTAATTTCAAAATGTCCACGATATATGTAATTTTATAGTTAAAATAATATTGCAGCTATATCTGTGAAAATGGAATCGCAGTGTTCTACGACCAGCTGGTTCAGGCTTCATCTGCTTGGAGGAAACGCAGGAGCTTTTGAAATGCCAGGGCTATTTCGGGGGAAGGAAGAGATGAGCCCGGCAGGAAGGACGGTTCTCGTGGTTATTAGTCCGTAGGGTTTCAGTCCTGTCCCACGATCCGACCTAATCAAATGCATTAAACGCCTCAACTTCTCTGATTCGTCCCCAAAACGGCAGAGGAGGACGTGGTGGGGCAGACAGAACACCCCGAGCGCCGCCCCTCGCCTCCGGGTGGGCCAGACCCGCAGAGCGCGACCGGGACACAGACGGCCGTCCGCCGCCCGCCGCCCGGGGCCCGCCCCGCCCCGCCCCGCCCCGCCCGCCCGCCCGCCCGGCCCCTCAGACAGGCCCCGCCCCCGCCCGGGCCCCGCCCCGCCCCGCCCCGCCCCGCCCCGCCCCGCCCCCGCCCGGGCCCCTCAGACAGGCCCCGCCCCCGCCCGGGCCCCGCCCCGCCCGGGCCCCTCAGACAGGCCCCGCCCCCGGCCCGGTCCTGGCCAGGCCCCACCCACCGTCGTCACGTGGCGGGGCGCGGGTTTCGGCCTGCGGCCGCTGCTCCACCCGGTATTCGCCATGGAGCTGGTGCCCCGAACCTCTCCCGTGTCTCTGCTGTTGCTGCTGCTTCTGGGCCTGAGCACCGGTAGGTTCGGGCAAAAGGTGCATCAGCGGCCGGTACCTCCGTCTCTCTCCAGGGATGAGCGTCTATTAGTGGATTTATGCTTTTGAAAGCAAATCTCTTTCCCCCAGTTTCTACCTTGCGTAATTATACTGCTTTAGAACCTCGCTCTCTTTCCTTCCTTCCTTCCTTCTTTCTTTCTTTCTTTCTTTCTTTCTTTCTTTCTTTCTTTCTTTCTTTCTTTCTTTCTTTCTTTCTTTCTTTCTTTCTTTCTTTCTTTCTTTCTTTCTTTCTTCTCCTTCTCCTCCTCCTCCTCCTCCTCCTCCTCCTCCTCCTCCTTCTCCTTCTCCTTCTCTTCTCCTTCTCTTCTCCTTCTTTTAATGCTAAGTGCTTTTTCTACCCCTTTCTGGCCCTGAGTGCTCTGGTTCTCCTCTCTTCCCTACGCCTAGGTAGAAGCAGTTGTGCAAAATACCTGACTTGGGGAAACTGCTGATCGATGAGGTTTCCACGATCCTAAGTCCACCTCCCTTTTCCTGCGGTGATTGGCTGCTAAGCGGGATTAATGAGGACTTTTTATTTTGAGCTGAAACATGCGGTGCGAAGGACCCTGAAAAACCAACCCTACCACGATTGGGACGTTTCATTGAGATGAGGTCTTTCTCTCTCTTCTTAACAGAACAGACAGCATAACATCTCCCCTCACTGCCATTCGTTTTGACAAAAACAAAATCGTGTTTAATAGGATGACTTGCAAATCGATTTTCAGTCTTTCAGCAAAATGTTTCGTGGTCTGAATCAAGATCAGAGAATTCGAACTGGCCGCCAACTTGCCTTGTGATCTTTGGCAAACTGCTTAAGAGTTCCCGTCTTTCCTTTTATAAACTGGGGATCATCTGGCCCTTCAGCTTGGGTCTGGGAAATGTTGTCAAAAATGCTCCCCCCCCCCCCCCCCGATTTTAACAGCGGTCACTGCCAGGGAAGGGAGGAGGGCCAGCGGTTAAGTCAAAAGGGACCCGAGCCGTATCTGTCATGTAATCTTGGGTCACTTGTACAGAGAATCTCCCAGCCACATCTATGATCTAGCCACTCTGTTTTGCTCTTCAAGCCACTTTCTGGTTTTCTTAATCTATATCCTTCTCACTTACAAAACCCCATTGTCGCCTCCTCTACTCCCTTCTCTTCTTTTTGAGACCAGTGTTTGTGCTTTTCCTTGCCACGGGTTCTTGAAATTTAAGAAAAGAGGAAGTAGAAGGCAAGAAACTCCCATCATGGGGAGCCCATTATCTTTGAACAGCAGCCTTTTCTTACCCACAGAGGGGTATTTGAGAGAAACAACTAACTTGAGAGTTGTTACTTTAGCAAAGGTGACATGGAAAATGTATTGAACCTCCTCTTCTTGGATACATATTTTGCAGATGCTACAAAGTTAACTAGGGAAAATTGGAGCTGTGGGATTAAAGGATATATATATATATATATATATATATATATATATATATATATATATATATATATGTAGCTTTTGATCTATGGAGTATCTTTCGATATTTGGAAAGCCAAGTTGCCTTCCCCAAAACTGATGTCAATGTGCACTCTTGCCAACAGCGCTGAGGACTGGTCTCCTGTCTCCTTGTGGCCATTGGGCACTTGCCATTATTTTTTTTATCTATCAAATAAGCAAAGATTTTTTTTTTAAGATTTTATTTATTTGGGGCGCCTGGGTGGCTCAGTCGTTAAGCGTCTGCCTTCGGCTCAGGTCATGATCCCAGGGTCCTGGGATCGAGCCCCACATTGGGCTCCCTGCTCGGCGGGAAGCCTGCTTCTCCCTCTCCCGCTCCCCCTGCTTGTGTTCCTGCTCTCGCTATCTCTCTCTCTGTCAAATAAATAAATAAAATCTTAAAAAAAAAAAAAGATTTTATTTATTTGACAGAGAGAGACACAGCGAGAGAGGGAACACAAGCAGGGGGAGTGGGAGAAGGAGAAGCAGGCTTCCCGCGGAGCAGGGAGCCAGATGCGGGGCTCGATCCCAGGACCTGGGATCATGACCTGAGCCAAAGGCAGACGCTTAACGACTGAGCCACCCAGGCGCCCCTAAGCAAAGATTTTTTTAGTGACCTCATATTGGTTTGATTTTCATAGCTGAATATTAATGATGTTAACCCTTTTTTCACATATTTATCAGACATTCAAATTTCCTTTTCATAAATTATTTCCTCAGAGCCTTGGCGCATTTAACTATTAGGATCTTCCTTTTTGAAATTGATCTACACAAGTAAGAAAAATCACTCTTTTTCATATTTGTTGCAGATCTTTCTTTGTTGTATGCCTTTTAATTTTATTTCTGATGTACATAAATTTTGTTGTACAGAAAATATAACAAGTCTCTGTCCTCAACTCTTTTTTTTTTTTTTTTTTAAGATTTTATTCATTTTTCGGGGCACCTGGGTGGCTCAGTTGGTTAAGCGACTGCCTTCGGCTCAGGTCATGATCCTGGAGTCCCGGGATCGAGTCCCGCATCGGGCTCCCTGCTCGGCAGGGAGTCTGCTTCTCCCTCTGACCCTCTCCCCTCTCATGTGCTCTCTTCCTCATTCTCTCTCTCAAATAAATAAATGAATAAAATCTTAAAAAAAAAAAAGATTGTATTCATTTTTCAACAGAGAGAGAGACAGCGAGAGAGGGAACACAAGCACGGGGAGTGGGAGAGGGAGAAGCAGGCCTCCCGCTGAGCAGGGAGCCCGACGCGGGACCCGATCCTAGGACCCCGGGATCACGACCCGAGCCGAAGGCAGACGCCCAATGACTGAGCCACCCAGGCGCCCTGTCCTCAACTCTTTTGATCTTTTCCTTTATAGTCTCTGGGGTATGCTTACAGCACTTCCCCATCCAGAGATCAAAAAAACATTCAAATATATATATATATATATTTTAAAGATTTTATTTATTTATTTGCGATAAAGTGAGTGAGAGAACACAAGCAGGGCGAGCAGCAGGCTGAGGGAGAAGCAGGCTCCCCACTGAGCAAGGAGCCTAATGCGGGGCTCGGTACCAGGACCCTGAGATCATGACCTGAGCCCAAGGCAGACGCTTAACCGACTGAGCCACCCAGGCATCCTCAATTATATTTTTATATTATTTTTAATATCTAAATTTTAAAATTGAAATACTTGATCTGCTTGAAATTTATTTTGGTTTATAGTATCAAGTAAGGACCTACATTTTTTTTCTCCTTCACAAAAGCTAACAGTTGCCTCAGCATAAGATAGTGAATATTGGTCCCTCTCATTTGGGATACCTCTTTAATCATATATTAAATGAGATATAAAGGCTAGCATTTTGCATTTTGTGATTTTTCTTTTTTTCCAGAAATGTGAATCAGTCTTTCTTTTTTTTTTTTTTTAAAGATTTTATTTATTTATTTCACAGAGACACAGGGAGGGAACACAAGCAGGGGGAGTGGGAGAGGGAGAAGCAGGCTTCCCGTGGAGCAGGGAGCCCAGTGTGGGGCTCGATCCCAGGACCCTGGGATCATGACCTGAGCTGAAAGCAGATAGATGCTCAACGACTGAGCCACCCAGGTGCCCCTGAATCTGTCTTTCTAAAACAGAATTGCAAAAGTGTTTCATGCTTATTGTTAAAAATCCAAATATTACAGGGGGTGCAGAGGAAAAAGTGAAAGCCCTGACCTCCGATGCCACTATTAAGTTTGGTTTGCCTTTTTTTTTTTTTTTAAGATTTATTTATCTAGGGGCGCCTGGGTGGCTCAGTTGGTTAAGCGACTGCCTTCGGCTCAGGTCATGATCCTGGAGTCCCGGGATCGAGTCCTGCATCGGGCTCCCTGCACGGCAGGGAGTCTGCTTCTCCCCCTGACCCTCCTCCCTCTCATGCTCTCTGTCTCTCATTCTCTCTCTCTCAAATAAATAAATAAAATCTTTAAAAAAAAAAGATTTATTTATCTATTATAGAGAGAGAATGGGTGGAAGGGGCAGAAGGAGCGAATCTCAAGCTGACTCTGTGCTTAGCATGGAGCCCAGTGCAGGGCTTGAACTCACACCCCTGAGATCAGGACCTGAGCTGAGATCAAGAGTCAGATGCTTAACTGACTGAGTCACCCAGGCGCTCCTGGTTTGCTTTATCATAACCGAAGTGCTTTTCCTTATCTCCACAATATGTTAGAGTGAGTAGAGTGCCTAAAATAGAAACCATATCATCTCCAGTTTATCATGGCCATCTCTGCGGGCTTGGAATTTACCTGGATGTTACACATTCTTTGGGACAATCACGTTGTGCTTCTGTTTCAGGAGCAATCACGGACCGGCCCACAGAGGAGGGAAAGGAAGTATGGGATTATGTGACCATCCGCAAGGATGCCCACATGTTCTGGTGGCTCTATTATGCCACTAACCCTTGCAAGAACTTCTCAGAACTGCCCCTGGTCATGTGGCTTCAGGTAAAAGTGGCTTGGCTGCCTGGTCAGGTTTCCCCACTTAACCACTTTGGTTGCTCTTAAGAACTCATGGTTCAGCGGTGAAGGACTGATCTGATCCAGCGGCCAGTGGGGGGTCTCCTAGGCTTGGGGCTTTGGTGTCCTCCTGAGGCAGGCAAAGGCAATGGTATACCAAGGGGGCCAAATCATAGAGTGATTCTAGCCTTTGCAGGGGTTTTCTTATATTGAACCCAGTCAGGGGCAGGATGCCTTCGTGGAAGCTCCTAAAGACACATTTGACTCTATGCCGACAGAAATGTTTTAAAAGAATCCAAAGCAAAGGCTGAGGTACTCTGAGCAGCCCTCCCTCTCCCTCTTCTCCCAGTCCTTCCTCGACCCTAACTCCTCACCCCCAGAAAAGCTGATCTTTTGAAAGGACTCACCCTTTTGTACCTTAGTATTAAATGTTGTACCCTATCCTTCTCCCTGAGTGTGTTTGCATTTTAATCTTGAGCTCTGATTGTAAGATGGAAGGCAGGGAGCTGGTTGAAGGGTATTTGGGGGCAGGCAGAGGATCCTTTCTTGCCTTCCTAAAATACCTGTCCAGAGGTGGCCCACACCCACCTGGAAGACCAGCCTCTAGGGAGGGGTTGAGGAAACTTGCTTCAGCCTCTGGAAACTGGACGTATGGCTGAGATTGGGCTCCAGGTTGCTCATGGTAAATATGACATGCTCATGGAGAATGTCAGCATTCACAGGCAACCTACCAGTGCCCTGGGCTTGGCCTCTTCAGCTAGCCCCTACAGACTTTTCTGGTGAGATAGAGCTCAGAGGAGCCCTTTGCAGGGAGGGCCATTTCTCTTGTAGCATTATCACAACTGTCTCTTTTGAGGGCTGGAGGGGAGGCCCAGCCTGAGAGTGCAGATATGAAACCGTCTGAGAAGAGATCCCGCATGTGTATCCCACAGGACTTCTGTCCACCCCCGGGCTGCCGGAGGGTTCCGTTTTCTGAGCTTTGGTTTTTTTTTTTTAAAGATTTTATTTATTTATTTGAGACAGAGAGAATGAGAGAGAGAGAGCATATGAGAGGGGGGAGGGTCAGAGGCAGAAGCAGGCTCCCTGCCGAGCAGGGAGCCCGACGCGGGGCTCGATCCCAGGACTCCGAGATCAGAACCCGAGCCGGAGGCAGCCACTTAACCAACTGAGCCACCCAGGCGCCCCGACTTTTTTTTTTTCCCTTTAGATTTCCCTATACAAATAGCCCTGGCTTCTCTTTTGCCAGAGCTATTCCTTCCATGTTTGTGTATCTCCCTTTCCTGTCCATCTTGCTCATGCACTGGGAGGCAATATCCTTTTATTCAAGGCCTATCCCCTCGGCTCAGCTGGCCCCTGAGACTTTGTCCAGAAGAGTACTGACCATGCTTTCCCCTGACCATCTTCTGAAGGGCCTCCCTCCCTTGCTTAGCCCTTCACAACCCACAGGACCTCTACCTCTCATGGTTGGGCCCCAGCACCAAGCTCTGGTCACAGTCCTGCCCTGCCCTTGGTCCTGGGTGTGCACAGTTTTGGGTCCTCCCCGCTCTGGAGACTTTTTTGCATTTGTTGAATTCTATCCTGGGGATCCTCGTGATCAAATTGCCCCTCAGTCTGCATCCCTTGTCAGTCCGCAGGGACACTGAGGAGAGGGTGATGGGGTGGAGAGTCACAGGACCCCAGGTCCAGGCCTGGCAGACCCCTAATTGCTGTGCTCCTTCCCTGAGCCTTAACTGCTCATCCTGGAAATGAGAGGCAGTGGACAAGGTGTTTTGAAGGTCAGCGAGCCCCGTGGCAGGCCAGGGTTCAATCTCAGAGGATCAGAGGTAGGAAAGTTCCCTCCGGGGCTCTTAGGCCACGTCTTTTCTTCCTATTTATTTATTTAAATTTAAATTTTATTTTCAAGTAATTTCTACACCTGACACAAGGCTCAAACTCACAACCCTGAGATCAAAAGTCGCATGCTCTACGGACTGAGCCAGCCAGGTGTCCCTGGGTCTTTTCCCTTTGAAGGGGCTCTGTTGGTACAGACACGCTGGTTCACCGGGTCAGTGAGGTCTTTTGTATAATGTTGTCCCAGCCATTGCTAAATCATGAATTGTATTCTAAATGTGGTTGCCGTTATAATGACTAAGATTTGACTGATGTTTTCTCTGGGTTTATTTTTATTTTCTCTTCCGCAGGGTGGTCCAGGCGGTTCCAGCACTGGATTTGGAAACTTCAAGGAAATTGGGCCTCTTGATAGTGATCTCAAACCACGAAGAAGTACCTGGGTACAGTGAACACAGCCCCTAAGTGCAAGTGCCCTGTGGCCTCCTCAGGGCTGAGGCCCGCCCTACCCCATTCTGGGTGGGGTCACAAGTCTAGCCATCCTGCCCTGTCCCTTTCCCCATGTGTCCTGGGGCCTTGCGCACTTGTCCACTTGCTTCCTCTCTGGCCGTGCCACATCATTGAGCTTTCCCTCCACTTGGTGGCAGAAGCCTATTCTAGCTGGCACCCTGGACTTTGACACTTCCTACATCTTGGCCATCTCTCTAGTCCAACTGCAGGGTCCCCGCCTCCGGCCACAACCCTCAATCCTGTCCCCTCTCCTCTCGCCTGCCTTGCTTCTTGACTCCATCAAGACCTCAGACCCCTTGTCCTCTGCCCTTCTGGTGTCTCTCTAGTTCTGTCTCCCTCCCTCCCTCATTCTTAGTTTCACTTCCTGCCGTAACCCCTCGCTGCTCAACCCCTGGCTCCTTCATCCTTCTCCCGGAACAGCCCTGCCACCCCCAAGCTTGGGTCAGCCCCACTGTCCACCTGCTTGGCTCCTACTCCCAGGTGCCCAGCCCTGGCGGCCAATGCCGTAGCGGGTGGGGCTGTTGCCTGGCTGTGGGGTTCACCCGGGCTTAGGGCCGCCTCTGCTGTGTGCTGAGACTCTGCTCCCCTCCGTGTCTGACCTGTCCCCCTGCCTCCCGGGAGAACAGAGCCGTCCCCTGTGACCAGCTATGCCCTGTCCTCGCTAGTAAGTGCTTTACCCCTCTGTCCCCCAGTCTCGCTCCCAGAACAACACCTGAGGCTCCTCTCTGCTGACGTCCTTTCCTCCAAGAGTCCACTCAGTTACTACCTTTCTCTATCCTTATGCCGTCTCTAGGCTCTCCCTGGGATGCGGGCATGCACAGGTTTTCCCCAGCCTACTACACCAGCCCCTCCAGCTCCCGCGCTTCCTTTTTTTAAGATTTTATTTATTTATTTGACAGCGAGAGAGGGAACACAAGCAGGGGGAGGGGCAGAGGGAGAGGGAGAAGCAGACTCCCCGCTGAGCGGGGAGCCCGATGTGGGGCTTGATCCTAGGACCCTGGGACCATGACCTGAGCCCAAGGCAGATGTTTAATGACTGAGCCACCCAGGCACCCCGCTCCCGCCGTTTCTTAAAAGAATTCTTTATCCAGGCAAACCTCGGAGATACTGCGAGTTCGGTTCTGGACCACCACAATAAAGCGGGTCAGATGACTTTTTTTATTTCCCAGGGCATATAAAAAAGTTATGCTTACCCTATACCGTGGTCTGTTCCACAGGCACTGATGTGATGTGTAAAAAAACAGTGTACGTACCTTAAGGGAAAAGGGCCCTATTGCTAAAATGCTAGCCATCATCTGAGCTTTCCGTGAGCAGTAATCACTGGTTACAGAACACTGTAACAAGTACAGTTTTAAACAGTTTGAAATATTGCAAGAATTACTAAAATGTGGCCCAGAGACATGAAGTGAGCAGATGCCATTGGGAAAATGGTAGCGGCCGACTTGCTTGATGCGGGGCTGCCCACAAACCTTCGATTTTTAAAAAGTGCAGTAAAATGAGGTATGCCTCTGTTTACTGCTGTCTAGTCATCTTTACCTCCTATTTATGCCTTCGCCTAGAGCTTTCTGGGCTGGGGGCTGGGGCTGGGGGCAGGAGAGAGTGGGTGCTAGGGAATCCAGAGCACATTAGCTCTAGGACACAGCACACGGATCTCCTCCATGGCCGCGGTGAGGTTGGGCAGCCCCGCGCTAACCCACCTGGCTCTCTCCTCGTAACTCTGCTGGAGCTCTTGTCCCCAGGGGCATGTTGGCTTCCCAATCCCAAGGCCAGCAGATCCTTCATGGGATTCTTTTCATGGATTTCTTTGCCACCCTGTTGGCCTTTCCCGTGCCTTGGATGTTGCTGTGTCCCATACTCTGTCCTTGGTAACATTCTCTTCTGTGTGTTCTTTGGGCAGCCCTGTCCTCTCCAACTGCTTTAATGACACATAGAAGGTGATGATGACTCCCAAGTCAGTATCTCCAGCTGAGAACTTTTGGCCCCAGAACTATTTCTCCATTTGCTTCTGAGATGTCTCCATGTCGATGTCCCTCATACATCCTCTGTTCAGCATATCCCAAACTATATTCATTAGTACACCAGACCCTCTGCCCATCCACAAAACCAGTGAACTCCAAGTGTCCCAGTCAGGTGCCTAAGCCAGAAATCAGAGAGCCATCCTTGTCTTCTCCTACCCCTCACCCCGCTCTTCCAATTGGTTTTACCTAAAAATGAATTCTTTTTTCTTTTTGAAAGATTTTATTTATTTATTTGAGAGAGAGAGAGAGAGAGAGAGCACGAGCAGGGGGAGGGAGAAGCAGGCTCCCCACTGAGCAGGGAGCCCAATCCCAGGACCCTGAGATCATGACCTGAGCTGAAGGCAGATGCTTAACCGTCTGAGCCACGCAAGGTGCCCCTAAAAATGAGTTCTTAAAATACAGCCTTATTGAAATATAATTCACATACCATACGACTCACCCATTTGAAGTATACAATTCAGTGGCTTTCCATATATTCAGAGTTTTACAACCATTACCACAATCAATTTCAGAACATTTTCACTACCCTCCCATCCCAGAAAACCTCATACCCCTTAGGTATTAACCACCAGCCCCTCCTTAGGCCACCACCAATAACTTCCCGTCTCTACAGACTTGGCTGTGTTAGCTATCTTATAACTATGGAGTCATACGGTATGTGGCCTTTGGGGTGTGGCTTCTTTCACGTCGCATGATATTTACAAGGTTCATCCATGTTGGATGTGCCACTGGTCCCCATTTTGTAAGGCTGAATAATAGTCCATTGTGTGGATAGACCACAGTTTGTCTCTTCATCTGTTGATGGGCACCTGGGTTGTTTCCACCCTTTGGCTCTGATGACGAGTGCAGGGGATACTGGTGGGCAAACATTTGTTTGAGTTCTTATTTTCGGTTTTGGGGTGTGGGGGGAATCTACCTCAAAGTGGAATTGCTGGGTCATATGGTAACTCTATGTTTAACACCCACGTGCTAAGATTCTTCATCCATCCCTTTTCCATCCTCTCTAGTGGCTGCTTTCAGAGTGCCTTTCCAATAGAAATCACTCCTTAGTTTAATATCTTTCGGTTCCCAGAAGATCAGAGCCAGATTCCTGGGCATAAACTGGTCTCTGCCTACCTCCTGCCCCATTTCCCAACGTCTGTCCATGTACACACTCCCTTCAGGCCCTGCCTGGACAGTTCCTTGGCTTGGACCTCATTCCTTTGGCCCCTCATTCACATCTAGCTTCCTTTACTCACATCTACCATTTAAGAGTCAATGTGAGACCACCTCTTCCTTAAGGTCCCCTCTGAGCCCTTGGATTCTCTTTGTCTCCTGCTGGTCCTTCGGAAGTGCAGTTTACTTCTGCCTCAGGGTCTTTGCACATGCTGTTCCCTTAGCCTGGAACATTCCTGAACTTGCTACATGCTGTAGCAGAGTGCCACACTGGCTTGTTTGCAAGTTTTCCAGAACTCAGAGCATAGCACAAGTCAGGCAGAGAGCCTGGATGAGAAGTGAGGAGGCCCGGGCCTGATGCTGCCATTACTTGTCCAGCTTTGTGACCTTCTTTGGACAAGTCCTGGGTCTTTTCTCAACTTTAATTCCCTGATCAGTAAAGGACATGGCTGGACTGTGTCACCAGTGAGGATCCTTCCAGACCGGAGATTCTATAGCTCTGAGCCACTTTGGAAAAGGTATTAGGGTAAATTCTGTACTTGGCGGTGTACTGGAGGCCAGGCTTCTGTGGAAATTGGATTCATCTTGAAGAAAACTGCTATGTGATATTCAGACCTCGGTGGGACTGTCACTGCTTTGAGCTGAGGCTCCAACTGATGCCGCGTGGTTCTACCTGAGCCAATGGATTATGTTTAGGATGCCATATTGTGTGAAAAGTGACAGCTCAGATGCTTTGGTCCCTGTGTGTATGTTAATCTTTCCTTCTTAGCTCTTCTTTTCTTTGCCTTTCTTTGCCTTAGTAGTCTTATGTTCCTGGTCCTTCTTATTTATTTTTTTAAGTAGGCTCCAGGCCCCATGTGGGGCTTGAACTCACAACCCTGAGGTCAAGAGTTAACAAAGCTCTACCAACTAAGCCAGCCAGGGGCCCCTCCTGTCCCTTATTTTTTGAAATCCCTTTTAGCAGTAGGATCATAAGCGCACTGCTATCTTCACGTGCATGGGTTAACACGCATAGAAGATGGTGGAAATAAAAAATACAACATAGGGCGCCTGGGTGGCTCAGATGGTTAAGCGTCTGCCTTCGGCTCAGGTCATGATCTCAGGGTCCTGGGATCGAGTCCCGCATCGGGCTCCCTGCTCCTTGGGAGCCTGCTTCTCCCTCTGCCTTTCTCTCGCTCTGTCTCTCATGAATAAAAAAAAAAAAAAAAAAAATACAACATAAAAATAAATTTTAAAAAAAGATGGTGGAAAGATAGTCGGTGGCTAACTGAGTGGTTGTACCACTTGACTTTCCTGTGTGACGTGTAGCTCCAGTCAGCCAGTCTCCTATTTGTGGATAACCCTGTGGGCACTGGGTTCAGTTACGTGAACAAGAGTGATGCATATGCCAAAGACCTCGCCACAGTGGCCTCAGACATGATGGTTCTCCTGAAGACTTTCTTTGATTGCCACAAGGAATTTCAGGTGAGCAGTGACTCGGGGACAGGTGAGCAAAGGGGCTAGCAGTCACCCTGCTGCAGCCATCTGAATTAACTTGTTTCCCCAAGAGTTCAATGTCCAGCCATTATCAGAGAAAACTTTTCTGCACCCGAGAGCAGGTTGTGGCCTTTTGTTTCTATCATCTCAAAGTGGTTTTGAGCTTGAAAGAATGACCTTAGAGCCCAGTATTCTAATCAGATATGGGGGAAAAGACCAAGAAAAGCAGATTTGTTTGGTCTGGCCATTACATGTGGTAGAAATTTGAAATTAACTCATGTGGGGGAAAAAAAAGGCATCAGGGATATTTATTCTTTGTAAATTCCTTTTCTTTCTAGACGATTCCATTCTACATTTTCTCAGAGTCCTACGGAGGCAAAATGGCGGCTGGCATTGGTCTAGAACTTTATAAGGTAATGGGGAAAATGACTTTGTTGTTTGGTTTCAGACAGACACTGATTCTGTTTCTTTCTATATCACCTGATACTGAATGTACTTTGAGTGGGACTTTGTATAAAGTCTAATAATAACCACAAAAAGTTTCAAAGAGAACAGTGAAGGTTGCCCTAGCAGATGTGGAACAAGCTATAAAGAAAGCTACAGCGAGTAAACCAATGTGGTACTAACGTAGCAGCAGACTAGCGGATTAAATGCGGCAGGATATGATGTGTACATAAGTGTATGTAAATAACGTGTCATGCATATGATCATATGGCATTGTCATATGCGATGATAAGATGGCATTTCAAATCATTGGGCTGCAGGTAGAATATTCAATGAATCGTATGGAAACGAACGGCTCTCGCTTTGAAAAACCGTAACGTGGAATTCTTTCTTTCATGAAACATCAGTTCTAGATAGATTAAAAATCTAAACATAAAAATCAAAACTGTAAGAAAACCTGAGGCTTTCCTTCATTTTTAAAAATTTTTTATTTTCTTTTAATTTTTTTTAAATGTTTTATTTATTTATTCATGAGAGTCAGAGAGAGAGACAGAGAGGCAGAGGCAGAGGAAGAAGCAGGCTCCCTGCGCCCGATGCAGAACTCGATCCCAGGACCCTGAGATCATGACCTGAGCCGAAGGCAGATGCTCAACCATCTGAGCCACCCAGGCGCCCCTATTTTCTTTTAATTTTAAATAATTTTTTTTTTTAGAGAGAGAGAGTGAGTGAGTGCTCGTGAGCCAGGGAGAGGGGGAGGGACAGAGGGAGAGAGAATCTCAAGCAGAGTCCATGCCCAGCACAGAACCCAACATGGGGCTCCATCTTACAACCCCAAGATTTTGACCTGAGCCTAAATCAAGAATTGGACACAATGGACTGAGCCACCAAGGCACCCCTGAAGCTTTCCTTCATATGATGGAACACCCAAAAGCCAAAAAGGATAAGGTTGACATATTTAGACCACATTCAAATGTAAAACTTAAAAGAGTTCCATAGATAATTTCAAAAGATGTATATATATACACACACAAATATATGATAGAAAAAGTATTCATATTGATAACTATAAAAAAGGACAATATCCTAGTAGTGAATTGGCAAAGAATATAAACAAGCCATTTATAGAAAAAAATGTAAACAGCCCATGAAGATAAGACAAATGCTCAACTTTCGTTAGTAGCTAAATCTGTAAGGCTTACAAATATTTAGAGATTGAGGACACCCAGTTTTGGTAAGAAGTCAGGGAAATAAGTGCTCTCCTGCACTCTTGGTGGGAATGGAGATAGGTAAGTCATTTTAAAAGAGCAATTAGGCAGTCTCTGTCAACTTTTAAAATCTATATGCCCTTGGACCCAATCACTTCAGTTCTAGGAACCTGTCCTTGGGAATTCTTTTTTTTTTATATAATTTTTTTTTTTAAAGATTTTATTTATTTATTTGAGAGAGAGAGAACGAGAGAGAGCACATGAGAGGGAGGAGGGTCAGAGGGAGAAGCAGACTCCCTGCCAAGCAGGGAGCCCGATGAGGACTCAATCCCGGGACTCCAGGATCATGACCTGAGCCGAAGGCAGTCGCTTAACCAACTGAGCCACCCAGGCACCCAAGTCCTTGGGAATTCTTAAATGTGTGTGTGTCAGAGGATTTTTTTTTTCTTTAACTTTTATTTATTTATTTATTTGAGAGAGAGAGTCAGTGAGAGTGTGGGATGGTGGGGGAGCAGAGGGAGGAGAGAGAATCTTTTTTTAAAAATTTTTATTTATTTATTTGACAGAGAGAGACACAGCGAGAGAGGGAACACAAGCAGAGGGAGTGGGAGAGGGAGAAGCAGGCTTCCCGCCAAGCAGGGAGCCCGATGCAGGGCTCAATCCCAGGACCCTGGGATCATGACCTGAGCCGAAGGCAGATGCTTAACGACTGAGCCACCCAGGCGCCAACACATCTTTTTTAAACACATTTTTTTTGTTTGAGGACAGCTGACACACAATGTTACATTAGTTTCAGGCGTGTATCACAGTGATTCACTTTCTCTATAAGTTATGCTATGGAAAACACAAATATAACTTTTGACTCTCCCCAAACTTACCTACTAATAGCCTACTGTTGACCAGAAGCCTTACTGAGAACATAAACAGTCGATGCACATATTTCATATGTTACGTGTATTAAATACTGTATTCTTACAATAAAGTAAGCTAGAAAATAAAATGCTATTAAGAAAAATGTAAGGAGGAGAAATACATTTACATTACTGTATTGTATTTGTTGGAAAAAATCGGTGTATAAGTGAATCCACGCAGTTCCAACCTGTGTTCAAGGGTCCACTATATATTCTTTTTTCTCATTTTATACAAATGATAGTATAGTCCTGAGGCATCCATCTCTCCCTCAAGGACCACCTGAGGAGGCCCGCCACCCTTCAGTGACTGCCATGTGGACAGTGACTGTTGTACCCCGGTCCCCCCCCCCCCACTCAACCCCCCAGCACCTTGTTAGAAATCCCAGACTGCAGGGGAAAGAGTGCCAGTGACCCTGGGAAAGAAGCTCGGGCCGCACCAGACCCCACGCACATCCTGCCAGCACTCTTGAAAACAGTAGAGAGAAACTTGAGCCGTGCTTCCTCATTCTGCAAATGGCAGCAGGAAAGAGTTACTCTTGCTCTCTACTGGGTCTCTTAGGTCTTCGGATATCCAGGGAGTCTTAGAAAGGATGGGCAGAAGTTTTCTGTGCTTGGGAGAGGTGCATAAAGGCTTGGCTCCCTCCTGCTGAAGAAGGGACGGAGGTCCCTGGGTTCCCTTGGCAAGAATGTTTCTGGGCTCTTCTTTCAGGCCATTCAGCAAGGGACCATCCAGTGCAACTTTGCCGGCGTCGCTTTGGGTGACTCGTGGATCTCCCCTGTTGGTAAGTACACAATCCTCAGATACTTCTTTACTCCTTTTCTCCATCCTTGCCTGGGACTTTGGGCTGTGTGGTGCAGATCAGAAAACAGGGAAACAGGATTTTCTGGGTCCTTAGAGATGTCAACACAAAAAGTGTTAACCCCAGAGGTGTCCAAGAAATTTGGGGATGAGAACTCATTTATAGAGCTCCCTACCGTGGACTGCTGCTGGCCAGACTGAATTCTCTTATTTGATTCTTACACCAAAAGAATCACATTTTACAGTTGAAGACTTTTTTTTTTTTTTAAGATTGGGAAGGGCAGAGGGGGAGAGAGAGAGAATCTTAAGCAGGCTCCATGCCCAGCGCAAGCCCACGGCAGGGCTCGATCTCACAAGCCTGAGATCATGACCTGTGCCAAAATCAAGATTTCGATGCCTAACTGACTGAGCCACCCAGGCACCCCTACAGTTGAAAACATTTTATTTTTTATTATTATTATTTTTTTAAAGATTTTATTTATTTATTTGACAGAGACACAGCGAGAGGGAACACAACAAGGGGAAGTGGGAGAGGGAGAATGAAAACATTTTAAAGACTAGAGAGGTGATGGAGTTTGCCCTCTGACACACAGCATGAGTGGCCTGGTCAGGATTCAAACCCCAGTCTGTTGGTTATTTGTCACCGCCACTAGAATGAGCATTTGGGGTGAAATTCCCGTGTGTTGCTCACCATGGTGATGAGACAAGGTTACCATTAGGTCCTGCCACTCAGGTTCATAGTTTCATAACCAGAGTGTCCTCTTTGGGAGTACAAATAAAAGTTGTTTGTGATGCAGACATCTGGGGTGTGGCTCCCGACATCTGAGAGAGTCACGTTGGTGGGGTTAACTCTAACACAGGATTTCTAAATCTCAGGACTATTGACATTTTAAGCCACATAATTCTTTTTTTTTTTTTTTTAGATTTTATTTATTTATTTGACAGAGACAGAGACAGCGAGAGCAGGAACACAAGCAGGGGGAGTGGGAGAGGGAGAAGCAGGTTTCCCGCTGAGCAGGGAGCCCGATGTGGGACTCCATCCCAGGACCCTGGGATCATGACCTGAGCCGAAGGCAGTTGCTTAACCAACTGAGCCACCCAGGCGCCCAAGCCACATAATTCTTTGTTGTGGGCGCTGCCCTGTGCGCTGTAGGATGTTAGCAGCGTCCCTACCCTTTAGATGCCGGTATTCGCACCCCGGTGTGACACACACAAACTCCCCCAGACCACGCTGGGTGTGGAGCCTGCTTAAGATTCTCTTTCTCGGGGCGCCTGGGTGGCTCAGTTGGTTAAGCGACTGCCTTCGGCTCAGGTCATGATCCTGGAGTCCCGGGATCGAGTCCCGCATCGGGCTCCCTGCTCGGCAGGGAGTCTGCTTCTCCCTCGGACCCTCCCCCCTCTCATGCTGTCTGTCTCTCATTCTCTCTCTCTCTCAAATAAATAAATTAAAAAAAAAAAAAATCTCTTTCTCCCTCTCCTGCCCCTCCCTCCCCACCCCCTAATCCCCACTCCCTGTTCCCGCACGTGTGCTCTCTCTCAATTAAAAAAAGAAAAAAAGAAATCTTCTGCCCAGATCTGAATCCCTCCTTTCAGATCCACTTCAGTTCTACCCCTCCATCCCAGGAATACTCCGTTTTTGAGAGAGAGATACTGTTAATTTATATGAACAATTATTAATTGCTAGGTAGTGGGCATGTGCGAGGTGCTAGGAAAGGTGCACAGGCATGCTCCGTGTCCTCAAGAAGACCTGCACAGTTCAAGATGGTAGCTGTAGCCATATGCCACTAAATTGACATTAATTAAAATACAATAAAAATTTAACTCTTTCAATTGCACTATCCACATTTCAAGTGCCCAGTAAGCACATGTGACTATTGACTTGTCCTGGACCACATAGATAGAGAATATTTCCATCATTACAGAAAGTTCTGTTGCACATCGGAGGTTGGCAGACTACAGCCTACAAGTTGAGTCTGTCCTGCCACCCTCCTTTGGTAGAGAAGGTTTTTACTGGGACACTATCATGCCCATTCATTTACATGTTGTCTGTGGCTGCCTGGAGGCTGTTGCAACCGAGTCGAGTCGTTGCAACAGAGGCTGCCTGGCCTGCAAAGCAAAAAAGGTTTACTGTTTGTTCCTTTATAGAAAAGTTTTGTCCCTCCCTGGTCTAGATCAAGCAGGGAATGGGGTGCACTGGAGAATTGCAGACGATTCTCTATGTCAAGAAACTAAGGCACAAGGGCGCCTGGGTGGCTCAGATGGTTAAGCGTCTGCCTTCGGCTCAGGTCATGATCCCAGACTCCTAGGATCGAGTCCCGCAAGGGGGTCCCTGCTCGGCGGGGAGCCTGCTTCTCCCTCTGCCTCTCTCTCTCTTTCTCTCTCTCTGTCTCTTAAGAATAAATAAATGAAATCTTTAAAAAAAAAAAAAAAGAAACTAAGGCACAAGCTTGATAGTTAAGTTGGAGAGGTGAATGATAGCAAGGTTCCGGAGGACCTGGTATGCCTGCGTGTCTCAGAGTGTACCCTGACGAATACCAGACCCAAAGAGGTGCTGTACAGAGGGCTTCGTAGTTAAATAAGTTGCCAGGGCTAAATACTGGCGCCACCTCCTCAAGCTTTCACAGGCATGTTAAAGGCTCTGAGAAGTCCTGCAAGGGCGGGGGTGGGGGGGCGGATAGTCTGTTTTGCATAGCCTCAAAGATATTTAACTGAAGAATCATTTTTTCTTTTCTAATACCTAGGCTGAACTCCTGCAGTACTGAGGTTACTTCAAACACACTTAGAGATGCTTGGCCTTAGGGAACGATTGAAGGCTTTTAAGCAAAGGAGTGACATATTCAAATGTGCAAGTTGCGGTCCTTGCTACTTTGTTGGCACATCTCAGTGGTCCTAGCCTTACCTAGAGTTATGGGAATTTTGAATCTGTCAAACCAAGCCCAACTATTCTCTTTGAGGCAGGCATTGTTTTATTCATTTGTGTCTCTAAAACTCCTTGCTGGCTTCAGACCCTTTGTAAATTTTCAGTATGTTTGTGGAATAGAAAAGAATTGGTTGAGGGGCGCCTGGGTGGCTCAGTCGTTCAGCGTCTGCCTTCGGCTCAGGTCATGAGCCCAGGGTCCTGGGATCGAGCCCCGCATCGGGCTCCCTGCTCAGCGGGAAGCCTGCTTCTCCCTCTCCCTCTCCCCCTGCTTGTGTTCCCTCTCTCGCTGTGACTCTCTCTCTCAAATAAATAAATAAAATCTTAAAAAAAAAAAAAAAAGGATTGGTTGACAGTATAGTCATAGGCACTTGAATTACAAAATCCTTAGTCTCCTTCCTTAATTAGCTCCTTGGCAGAAGCAAGTGTCCCCAGACTGGAGGAGCAAGGGCAGGGGAAATATTCTAAGCTGTCAAAAAGCCTAGAGGTCTGACAGGAATTTTCACTGCGGTTGCTCCAGTATCAGGCCAAATTAACATGTCATTAGCCCTGAGTCAACAGAAAGGCCCTCACATCAGCCCACCTCCCGACGACTGAGCCCTCAGCCCTGCAGGGACATCAGTGAGTGAAGGAGCCTATAGACCTGAAGCCACCAGCCTTCTTGCTTCAGTCTCCGCTTTGGGAGGGAAGCTAGTTGGGTTTTCTCTGGGAGGACAGAGCCACTGCGGACTTATTTTGTACATTTTGTACACATGTGGTTTCCTTTAGATTCGGTGCTCTCCTGGGGACCTTTCCTGTACAGCATGGTGAGTAGATGAGTTCCCACCTCTGCACCCTCGGTGGTAAGCAGCGCAGCTGATCTCCCCTGGCTCCGTGCCCAGGACAAACAGGCTAGCTGGGTTTGCCTAGGAGGTTGACACTGCTCTCTGGGCAAATTTAATGAACCATCAGCCCAGTTCCCCATTGCTCTGGGTATAAGAAACACAATGTTTAAAATCTCTCCAACTTTCGGGCGCCTAGGTGGCTCAGTCGGTTGAACGTCTGCCTTCGGCTCAGGTCATGGTCCCAGGGTCCTGGGATCGAGCCCTGCATCGGGCTCCCTGCTCGGCAGGAAGCCTGCTTCTCCCTCTCCCACTCCCCCTGCTTGTGTTCCCTCTCTCTCTGTGTCTCTCTCTGTCAAATAAATAAATAAAATCTAAAACAAAACAAAACAAATCTCTCCAACTTTCTATGATAAAAATTTTCACCTGTGCAGAAAAGTTGAACGATCCCTGTGAACACCCATATACCCACCATCTGGACTCCGCTCACGTTTCACTGTATTTCTTTCATCAGTGACGACGTGACTGGCCATACACTTTCATCTATAGGCCTTTCTCCTCGCACGCTCTCTGTCACCTGTCCCTAGCTGTGGTGATGCCAGGTCTGTGTCCCTGAGCGATGTGGACCTGTTCGTTCTCGGTTTGCATTCCAGTCTCTTCTCGACGACCAAGGCCTGGCAGAGGTGTCTCAGGTTGCAGAGGATGTCCTGGATGCCGTGAATAAGGGGCTCTACAAAGAGGCCACCCAGCTGTGGGGGAAAGCAGAAATGGTCATTGAACAGGTAATGAGACAGGCTCGAGGGCAGCCTGCTTGCCGTGTTCCCAGGGAGACAGGACCTCCCGGTTGGTGCTGTCAGGATTTGGGGGTCTCCTGAGACTCCCCTCAGATCTGAAAATGATCAAGTGCTAAACGATAAAGCCGACGAGTCTGAGCAGTGATGAGCTCAGAAAGCCACCCCGGGCCTACAAGACCCACTTGTCCCATGGACACTATAAGAAATAATATGTCTTGCAGAAGTGAATGTTTGAATCCTTGCCAGGCAACATTCTGTCCCCAGTGAGCCAGGAGGGAAGAATGCACAGCCGAGGACGAGTGTGCCGGACCCTCCTTAGCCCTCTTCTCCCTGTAAATTAACACGCAGGCCCTTGGTTTTCTCCAGCATCTGAGATCCACTTGGATGAGCTGCTCACTACCGCAAACCCCCCCCGACCCCGAGATCGGGCTGACAGCTGGTCTCAGAGCTGCATTTCTTGTTGGTCCAGGCACATTTACAAAGTTAAAGCTGTCCTTGGATAAGATGGAGAGCCTGTTGCCTTTCTGTTAGGCAGCTTTGATAATGGATAAATAAAACAAACAGCCAAATATCATTCTGTATTTCAGAACACAGATGGGGTGAACTTCTATAACATCTTAACTAAAAGCACTCCCACATCTGCAGTGAAGTCGAGCCTTGAATTCACCCAGATCCCCCTAGGTAAGTGAACCTTGACGTTGCTAGACCCCGTCTCTGTCTCCATGCAAGAGGGAATCAATTCTTTTAGCTTTATTGACATAATTTACATACCACAAAACTCACCCATTTTAAGTGTATGATTCAGTGGTTTTAGTGCATTCACAAAGCTGCACAGCCATCACCACAATCCAGTTCTAGAAATTTCCATCATGCCAGAAAGATCCCGTGTCTCCTGGCAGTCAGTTTCCGTTTCCATGCCCAGCCCCAGGCAGTTACTAATCTGTGTTCCTAGATACGGACGTTTCATATAAATGGAACCATTTATATGGGTGGTCTTTTGCATCTGGCTTCTTTCGCTTACCATAGTGTTTTTGAAGTTTGGAAACCAACTTCTGCGCATTACACATTACAGTCCTTCTGAAGGCTGGATTGAGCTGTCTTTCAGCTGACCCAGCTTCGCCGCAGATGCTGAATGCCTGGCGTCCTCCCTCCATAGGAGGCCTGTAAAGGCTTCGGGAGCCTCTAGATTCCACTTCGCAGCTGATCTCCTTTGGCCATGCTGGATGATCTCAGCGGCCCCAAAGTACATAAAGTGCAGCAATCAAAATTAATAAAGCATCTCCACTTTCAGTGTCTTTCTGGCTTTCTTCCTCCATCTGGGGTGGATGAAGGTGACGCTTTTCGTTTTCCAGCTGAAAGCCTCCCTCTTAGACACACTGTCCCAGCTGCTTGGGAAAGACGTGCTCTTGGTCGTATTGCCAGTCCTTTGACTCACCGGGTACCAGTTTGTTTCAGTTCACCTTTACCAGCGCCACGTGAGACACCTACAGAAGGATACCTTAAGTCAGCTCATGAACGGTCCCATCAGAAAGAAGCTCAGAATTATTCCTGAGGATTGCTCCTGGGGAGGTACTTCTGTGACCTAATTAAGGGCCATTTGTGGGGTTGCAGGGCAGTGGAGGGGCCAGTTCAAAGGCCTTAATTTGAAGAATGGGTTTTGGCGGTGGTGATGATAGGTTGCAGGTAGGACAGCATTACGGGCCACATTTTAAAGGTGAGCAAACATAACGTGCCCAAATTGGTTCAGAATAAGAGGTTGGTAGGGAAGTGGGTGGGGAGGGAAATGAAATGATGGGTTAGGTGTTGATAAATCTTGTTGCAGCCAGGTTATGGGCACCTGGGAATCCTCTTACCCTTCTGACTTATTATCAGTTTGAGGTTTTCCATAATAAAAAAAAAAATCGAGATTAAAAAAAGCCACGCCCAAAGCCACAGTTGGTTATGGGTGTGACTTCCAGACAAAGGTCCTTTGGGGCAGGTTTTGACCAGCTCCCCGGCCAGGCTCCCCCCTCCCCCCAATCCTGATGCTGGATGTGGTTCCGGGGTCTACTATATTCTGTTCTGGGGACCATATTAGGAACTGTTGGGGGCAAGGGGCAGTGCCCAGTGTAATCCCCTTGCCCGTGGTTTGGCAGACCGTGACTGATAGAGAAAGCTCCGTGGCCCCAGCTGTGTCTGGTCCGGAAAGGACAAACTTGCCAGCCGATACCCATACCCAGGGCTTGCGCTCCGGCGTGCAGTTAAGCGTGCAGGGAGCCCACCGGCCCGTGCTCATACCCCGCCTGCCACTGACTGGCTCGTTCTCCCTGGCCATGTATCTTAGCCTCTCGGAGCCTCAGTCACTCTAACCACTGCCCAAGTTAGGACTCCGTACCTCCCAGTTTACTAGAGGGAGAAACCACCTTGACAAGGGCAAGGCCTCCAGTATCTTGTAGGTCCTCTTTAGCGTACAAAAGTCCTTTTGAAAACCTCCCTTTTTCCTTACCCTCCAACTCCAGAGTATATAGAGGGAGTATATATCCTTGATGACGAGGAAATGCGATCTTGTTTGTAAAGTGCTTGCGGACAGAAATGAATAGTAGCTACTGTTATTGTGGGGTTCACTGTCACGGTGATGACAGTCAGGAATCCGCCAGGAGTGCGGTGCTGACCATCTTCTCTCTTGCCTGGGGCTCATCGGGCTCATCCTCCCCGTGGTTTTCCTGAGGGCTAGCTCTGCACTGGTTTAGGTCTGATTTGGTTTATTACTAGGGTAGCCCCACTTGTGGCCCTGGTGTTACTTAGCAAAGGAGGAAAACTAACACCTGCCCCAACGCAGAGATTGTTCCCCGAGAGGACCAGCCTAACGAGTATTTTGTGAAGCTCCCTGTTTGCTTGGGCATTAGCCTTCAGGAGACTGGCTCCGGACATGGATTTCTGGGTGGTCGGTCCCTGTTGGTGAAGCACAGTGGTTACTTTGGGTGCCGGGGCCCAGGAGGCTCTGGTCTGAAAGGTGCCCCGTGTTCTGGCAGATTGCAGGCTCTTACCTCTTTCTCTTTCCTCACATGCAGGGCAGTCTGCTGATGTCTTCCAGAACATGGAGGGGGACTTCATGAAGCCGGTCATCAGCATTGTGGACAAGCTGCTGGAAGCCGGGGTCAATGTGACCATTTATAACGGACAGCTCGATCTCATCGTGGACACCATAGGTAAGGAACACGCTCCGAGGGGCACCTGGAGGCTGTTCCTTGGGGTGAGCTGGAAGGGAACTGGCCCTGGCCAGACATGCCATTCGGGGCTGGGGACATTGAAATGCCTGGAGGAAGGCCATTTCCTGTTACGTTCATCTGCCCCGACCTTGACCTCTTTGAAGAGGACATAGCTGTTGAGGCAGTTGTTGAATGTAGGTGAGGTTTGATGGGATGAGGTCTGGAGCTGACGGCCAAGAAAGAATTTTTTTGTTCTGTTTTTGTTTTTTTTTGTTTTTTGTTTTTTTCAAGAAAGAATTCTTGAGACGTCTTTGGTGCAAAACGGTGGTTTTATGAAAGCACAGGGACAGGACCCGTGGGCAGAAAGAGCTGCTACTTCAGGGTTATGAGGGGTGACTGATTATATACTCTGGAGTTGGGGGAAAGGAAAACGGGAGGATTTCAAAAGAACTTTTGTACGCTAAAGAGGACCTACAAGATACTGGAGGCCTTGCCCTTGTCAAGTTAAGGTGGTTTCTCCCTCTAGTAAAGCATTAACATTAAGACAGTTGGGAGTTTCCTATTGGAAGTTAGGTGATTGATAAGAATGCTTTTTTCTTGTAAATCATGAAGATATTTGTAAACTGAGGGAGGCACTGGTCTTGCTGGACTGTGATCTCGGGTTAGTTAAACATTTGTTTTTCCTTCCCTTAGCTTTAGGGCAGCGGGGAGTGCCTGAGGAATGTCACACAGATCCCACCTGGGGGTGGGGGGACAGTTTGCAGGTTGTCAGCTTGTGCTTGCCCTCTGCTAGCCTTTTGCGCCCTCATCACGGTGACCCCTTAGAGAAGCCTGGGCCTGCCAGATTTTGAGGCCCTTATGCATGATTAAGAAATGCATGACACCTACTCCCACCACAAATACAAAAGGAGACCTTTTCCTGGCCATGGGGTCAATGCACTGGTGAGTTGAGTCTTTGTCACTGTCCCAGTAGGTGGTAAGCTCTGCAAGCTGAATTGAACCTAAACCCTGCTGATTCTAAACCTGAGGACCCAGGGGAAATGGCCTTTGGGGTTCTTTTTCAGTAGGACCAGGTAAAGACTGAGAGGCAGGTTTTCAGAACCAGCAGGTAAATCGAGGCACACGGTATGACAGGTATGACGCACCTCTTGAGGTCAGCGGGATTGAATATTTCTGCCACTTGTAAGCCAAGGGCACTAAGGCCACTTTGAAACGGTTCTGTGTTTCTTCCATGACCTGCCCAGTGATCCACATTAGCATCTTCCGACCCTGAGACCTCTCAGTCCTCCGGAGAGTCCTGCCACCTCCAGAGGTCCCCACTTGCCTTGCTTCAGAGCATATGGCGGTGGGAAAGGCAGAGGCAGAAGTAGTCAGGCTTCTCAGCGTTTAGGTTTCTCCCAGGTATCTTGGGCATCACTGGGAGTTTGCTGGAAAGGCAGTCTCAGGCCCTACCCAGACCTACCGACTCTGAATTTGCATTTTAAGCGGATCTCGGGATGGGTTCTGTGCGCATCACAGTTTGGGAATGGCAAAGTGATGGGATCTAGATTTTTGTTTCTACCCCACCCAGCTATTGATGCCAGGCCCTGCTCTTTCCCTCTCACCAGGTCAGGAGGCCTGGGTGCGGAAACTGAAGTGGGCAGAGCTGCCCAAATTCAACCAGCTGAAGTGGAAGGCTGTGTACAGTGACCCGAAAGCTTCAGAAACGTCTGCTTTCATCAAGTCCTACAAGAACCTGGCTTTCTACTGGATCCTCAGAGCCGGGCACATGGTGAGGCCGCGTCCCTCAGCCTTTGTGGTGGGCTCTTACCTGCTCTGAGGGTGAGGCCATGGGCAGGCAGTTGATTATGCGTTGAGTGCACTGCCCGGACTGGCCTTAGAGGAAGTGATTTGTTTTGGGAAGTGTTTCCGGGTCTCTAATGAAATCCTGCTCTTAGTGCTTCAGTCCTTTGAATCTAGAGATCCTCATTTAAAACTAAATCCTTCTGAGAGCATTAAGCTGGGCTCTGTCTTTTACTCCTTAGGTTAAATGAGTTTAATGTTACTTTCCTCTTAATCATTTGTCTTGGGGGAAGAAGGGAGAAATTGTCTTTCCCTCACATTTTCGGGGAGCGAAAGCCAAAGTTAGCGCTCTGGAAAGCTGAGTCGCAGGGCATGGTACAAGGTAGGGGGAGTGTTCGAGCAGCAGTAGCTTCCAGATTTCCAGTTCGGAAGAGGCTTTGTGTGCAAAGATGAGGTTGTCTCGCTCCTGCACTTGCTAAGCGAACACACTGTCTCCCCTTAGGTCGTAGGTTGACTGAGTGGCTATCCATGGGCTGAGGGAGATTCTGGAGGGATAAATCCACTGTAAACACACACATGTGTGCACGTACACATGCAAACACCTGCAAAGGCACCCGAGGGGTCGGGTGCTTCCCTCACGGTTAGGCTTTGGTCTGGCCACTTACATGCAGGTTCTCTTCTTCCCAGGACAGTGCTTTCCTGGAGGAGATTCACTGGGAGGGGTGGTAAGGTGCCCTGTGGGCGGCTCTCTCCGCTTGGCCCCCTGGTGCTTAGGACAGAATCTCCATAGAGAAGGGGCTGAGGGGTGGTGGTCTGGCTAGAAAACTGGTCTTTAAGCTCCGTTTGCACATCAAGCACATATAGTGTGTGTTTATTACTTGGATGGCCGAGGAGATGCTAAGAGGGATTTCAGCAGGAACTAAAGTGCCCTCTCCAGAAACCAACTCCTTAGGGGTATTACCTAGGCAAGGAGGAGGTGTAGGAGCAAGAAAAACAGCATGGGCAGGTCCAACGGAGCCTCAGGAGGGGCCCTGGGGAGAGATGAGGCCAGGGATACCTTGTTAGGGAGCTCACACGTATCCCGAAAGCAACAGCGTGCATTGAGGGTCTTAAAAGCAAAGGAGTGAAATGGCCAGATTTGTCTAAGAAAAGGCATTCTAGCAACAAAGGTTTGGTCTGCTGCCCCAACTGATGGGGTGCCCCCCCAGGGGATGAGACTAGGGCAAATAGCCGATCTAAAGTGCTTTTTTTTTTTTTTAAGATTTTATTTATTTATTTGACAGAGAGAGCACAAGCAGGGGGAGTGGCAGGCAGAGGGAGAAGGAGAAGCAGGCTCCCTGCGGGGCTCGATCCCAGGACCCTGGGATCATGACCAGAGAGGAAGGCAGACGCTGAACTGACTGAGCCACCCAGGTGCCCCTCTAAGATGCTCTTATAGTAATCAAGGAGGGAGAGAAGTAGAGGAATTTGATAGTGTCAGAAGGGAGAACTGGCCGGACTTGGTACCTGTTTGCCTATAGAACCGCCAGGTAGGATGCTCATAAGGCAGCTGAATATATACACTGTGTATATATGATCCGGAGTCAAATTTTTGCTCTTGGAGAGATTTGGGAGTCAAATATGAAAAAGGCCAGGGACAGACCAGTATTTAAAAGGCAGGAAGTGAAAGAAGGACCTACAAATGAGACTTGAGAGAGGGCAGCCAGAAAAGGAGGAGGGAGACCAGGGACGTGGGCATCCGCAAAGTCGCCAGGGGCCGGTGGTGTCGCAAGCTGCCACCAACTCAGATAAAGGAGCGAAGTGTCAGCAGTGATTCGGGCACAGGGGTATCCTTAGTGCTCGTGGCAAGCGCTTTTGGTGCAGTGGCGGGCCTGGAGGCCAGCACGGAAAGGGTGCAGCAGATGAATGGGCAGTGAGGGAGGGAATACAACTTCCTCTCAGAAATCGGAAGGATAGGAATCTGCCCTTTTAAGAAACTTCATCTGAATAGATCATGAACAAGGCAGCAGGACCCACGGTTAGGAGGGCATTTTGTTAGGGCTTGCTTTTTTTTTTTTTTTTTTTTTTAAGATTTTATTTATTTATTTATTTATTTTTAAAGATTTTATTTATTTGATTGAGAGAGAGAGAGAGAGAACATGAGAGGGGGGAGGGTCAGAGGGAGAAGCAGACTCTCCGCTGAGCGGGGAGCCTGATGCGGGACTCGATCCTGGGACTCCAGGATCATGACCTGAGCCGAAGGCAGTTGCCCAACCAACTGAGCCACCCAGGCGCCCCAAGATTTTATTTATTTATTGAAGGCAGAGACAGAGGGAGAGACAGAGAGAGCATGCGTGTGCACGCACCGGCAGAAGGAGGAGCAGAGGCAGACTCCCCCTGGAGCAGGGAGCCCGATGCGGGGCTCGATCCCATGACCCTGGGATCATGACCTGAGCTGAAGGCAGACGCTTAATGACTAAGTCACCCAGGCAACTCCCTGTTAGGGCTTTATGTATTCTGAGTACCCTTAATATCAACTAGGGAGGAAGCTAGTAGGAAGTCTTAGGGCACAGTGCTGTGAGAAGGGTCCCTGCAGGGGCAGGTGGGAGGGGAAGGAGGATGGGGAGGGGAAGGAGAGCACATGCTCTTGCTCATATATTGGAGTTCAGGCCCATTTCCTCTGGCTTGTCACGGAGAGAACCAAGACATCAGTTGGGGCAGCCTTAAAATAGCTCCTGGACACTGGTATTAAATTATCCCCAACCACTTCCCCTTTAGTTGATGAAATGTCTTTTTGGTGTACCCCACTGTGCCTGTGCCTCCAGGGGACCTTGCTGGGCAAGAGGACTGGGGACAGCAGTGTGCCGTAGAGAATCATGGACCCATGGGCTTTCAGAACTTGGGGCCGTCAACTGGACGCCCATCTTTGTGGCGGAGAAACTGAGGCCTCTGTCCCTCCCCTTTCCGATGGTGTGTGGGAAGGGGGTTTATAAAGGAATTATTTGAAAAATCTAATTTTGGCTGGCTCAGGCAGTAGAGCGTGTGACTCTTGATCTCAGGGTCATGAGTTCAAGCCCCACATTGGGTGTGGAACCTATCTGAAAAATTCAAAGGAAAAACAAAAGAAAATTGAATAATAACAATAATACCAAAATGGGGTGCCACCCAAACAAAGCATCTTGTTCGTTTGTTGTATCTGTTGACAGATTTGCTATTAGCTTCCCTCTACTTTGTACTCCATTCCCAGAGAATCCTTTAAAATGTTTAGAATCTCCCCTCTTCCTTGAACAGGCTAGGTCCTGCCAACATGAGCACAAGTCTTCCAAGGAAATCAAGAGGGACGCCTGGGGGGCTCAGTCAGTTAAGTGTCTGACTCTTGATTTTGGCTCAGGTCATGATCTCAGGGTCATGGGACTGAGCCTTGGGTTGGGCTCTGCCCTCAGTGGGGAGTCTGCTTGGGATTCTCTCTCTCCCTCTCCCTCCACCCCTCCCCCCACTTGCGCTCACTCTCTCTCTCTCTGAAAATCAATCAATCAATCAACAGATCAGCCCTAAATGGAACAGCAGGTTCTTTTCCTAAATGCTGACTACTTTAGACCCCTGCAACCTGATGAGCTTCTGTCCTGTGCAGGGGTCATTTCTCAGATGGGACCCTCCCGTAAGGGGCGCATTCAGGTGCAGATGTCCTCCTAGGCTGTGTCGTGGAGCCGGCACTCCTCCTGGGAGCAGGGTCTCAGGATGTCGCCCCTGAACCCAGAACCCGGAGTGTGGACTTGGATACTGTTTGGTTCTAGGTTCCTTCTGACCAAGGGGACATGGCTCTGAAGATGATGAGGATGGTGACTCAGCAGGAGTAGGATGGATTGGCGGTGAGTTGCTTGGCCCTAGGGCTCGGGGGCCCAGAGTGAGGACCCGGGAAGCACCGGTCTCCCGCGAACCCGGCTGCCTGTGCGCGTGAAGGTTCCTACCCGTGTGTCCAGAGAACAGACTCGCTGCCTCCGTGGCAACTTGGAAATCATTTCTGCTTCTGAAAAACCCCCATTTTTTTCCAACGGATTTGTTTTAATCAAAATGAAGAGTTGAAACAGGTTGACATTTTGGTATGACAAAAGTAAATGATGTGATGTATGGGGGAGAAAAAGAGAAATACAGGTAAACAAAATAAACACCCTTTTCCTCCCTTCCCTGGGACAAGCTCTGTTATCAGTTTAGTGTCCATCCTTGCAAGCCTTTTTTTTTTGCTATATATGCATATATATTTTTTACAAAAATGGAATCATTACTGTATGTTGTTTGACTACCTACATACCAGTTTGTCCTAAACGCCTCTTCATGTCAATAAATGTTCTCCTATAACATTTTTAATAGCTGCTGAGCATTCCACTTTGTGGATGTACCAAATGCGCAACTGTTTCATGTGAGCAACGTCTAGTGTGTCTGGTAGAGACAGTGCTCTGGTGATTCATCCTGACAGTTATGTTTTTATACACATCCTTCTTCTTTTCTTACAGCAAATTCCTAAAGGCACAATGGTTTAGTCAAAGAATTATAACTTCTCTTAAAAATTGAAATGATGTCTTTAATTTAAAAAGCAGGACCTCGGGGCGCCTGGGTGGCTCAGTCGTTAAGGTCTGCCTTCAGCTCAGGTCATGATCCCAGGGTCCTGGGATCGAGCCCCGCACCGGGCTCCCTGCTCGGCGGGAAGCCTGCTTCTCCCTCTCCCACTCCCCCTGCTTGTGTTCCCTCTCTCGCTATTGTCTCTCTCTGTCAAATAAATAAAATCTTTAAAAAAATAAAAAGCAGGACCTCTAAGTTTTCACTTGCAGCCCACGGTCTGCAGAAGGGATGTCATAGTTTCTATGATGCCCCTGAAAGAAACACTGTGTCTTGCGGTTGTGGGGCTGAGTTATTAAAAACCAAACCCAGGGTCTTCCTGTGGAACGTGAGGAGAGTGTTAATAGTGGGTTATGCATCTGAAACTAATAATGTGCTATATGTTGGCTAATCGAATTTAAATTTTTAAAAAAATAGTGGGTTATGTCTACATGACCATCCCCCTTGGACCTGAGACTGAAGCAGGCTTCTTGGGCAGAGGCACCCTGCACTTACCTGTGGTTCGCTATTGGGGAGAAAGCATTCCTGTGTGCCCCTGGACATGGAGAAACATGACAGGCTTATGCCGGATCCCGCTGGATCCCCCACCAGTGCATATTGTTCTCCTGTTGCTTCTGCGAGGTGTCCTTTGCCGGAAGAAAATTTAGCCACTAGTATAATTATTTACCAAGTCTTGTGAGTCCTTCTGGCGTTGAATTACAACACATTTGAATTCCCAACCTCACAGGGTCTCTTTCATTAGAAGTTAGGGTGTTAGGGGGCACCTGGCTGGCTCAGTTGGTAGAGTATGTGACTCTGGATCTTAGGGTCTGAGTTTAAGCCCCATGCTGGGTGTAGAGGCTAATTGGAAAAAAAAAAAAAAAAAAAGGAAGTTAGGATACTAGTTGGGAAAGAATCTGAGTTTGAACATTAGGATGGCCACATGGGCAGATTCCAGTGAATTCCAGATTCCTTAAACCTTTTTTGCCACTAGAAGCAGCCCTTCCATCCCTGCCCAAGGAGGTCAATCTCCTCCTGCCCTAAGATCTTGTCACCAATTCCAAGATGCCCAAAGCCCTCTTTCTGCTACATTACATTCACTCTCAACCCACACCCATGCCTTCATGGGACGTTCCCTGTGATCAGTTCACGTGGGGAGGAAGTCTGGGGCTTAGTTTACAGATAGTTCTGCACGGTGGGCATGCATCAGCTGAGAGTGGACAGAGTGGAAATCCTCCCAGGGGACAGAACTTGGGACGAGGTACCCATTTGTTCATTTTGCCTGGAAGGAGAGATGGTCAGAAGAAAGGGTCTGTACCAAATCACCATTTGGCTGGGTAGTTGGACTTGGAAAGAACACAAGTGAAAAAATCAAAAGGCCTGAGGAAGAGATATGAGGATAGACCTTTGAATGGCAGAATATGAAGCTAAGTTGTGTTCCACGTGAGTGCTCACCAAAGAGCAGAGGAAGATTTTAATAATCAGATGGATAGAACGACCCATTCTGTAGACATCGGCCAGCCTCCTTCCCCAGCAGCTCCTGGGGACTCAATGCCAACCAAAGTAGCCGTAGTGACAGCAATGGAGGTTATACATTTGCTCTTGGACATGGACTTGTGCTCACCAAGAGTGACCTGGCCACAGCTGCTGCTGAGTGCCTAATCTGCCAGCACAAGAGACAACACTGAGCCCCTGATACGGTGTCATTGCCCGAAGGGATCAGCCAGCTTCCTGGTGTTAGGTTGATTACATTGGACCACTTTCATTATGAAAAAGGCAGCAAGTAATTCTTATTAGAATTGACACTTGCTCTGGACATAGATTTGTCTTCCCTGCCCACAGTGCTTCTGCCAAAACTGCCATCTGTGGCCTTAGAGAATGTGTCATCTGCCATCATGGTATTCACAGCACACGAAATGGAGAAGTGGGTTCATGCTCATGGCATTCACTGGTCTTACCATGTTCCCCCATCATCCTGAAGCAACTGCCCTGAAACATGGTTGAATGAGTTTTTGAAGATTAGGTTACAGTACCAGCTAGGTGGCGATACCTTGCAGGGCTGAGGTGATATCCTTCAGCATGTGGTATACGATCTAAATCAGCATCGTGCTTCTCCCACACCCTGGACCCAGGAGTCCAGGAATCAAGGCATAAAAATGAAAGTCACTCCTCCCCTTTCAGCCCTGTTGATCCAATAGTCAAATTTTTGCTTCCCATTCCTGCAACTTTAGCTTCTGCTAGTCTAGAAGTCTTAATTACAAAGGGAGAAATGCTTTCACCAGGAGACACAGCAAAGATTGCCTTGAAATGGAGCTTGAAGCTATCATCTGGAGTGTTTGGGCACTGAATAAAAAGGCAAAAGTACTGTCTGGAGTGATCCTGACTATCAAAGGGAATTTGGGTTGTTACTACATAGTGAGGATAAGGCAAGAGAATGCCAGAGATCCTTTGTGGTACCTTATAGTACTCCCATAGCCTCTGATTAAAGTCAAAGGAAAACGGTAATAACCCAATTTATACTGGTAATGGCCCACACCCTCCACAAAGGTTTGGGTCATTCCACCAGGCGAGGAACTATGACCGAAGGGCTTGCTCAGGACAAAAGAAATAAGTAGTGAATGATGGTAGTTATAAATACTAGCTATGACCTCATGACCTGTTGTAGAACAAAGACTGTAATGGTTACGAGTGTTTCTTCCTTATTGTGATTTGAATATATTTTAATAAACATTAGCCAAATTTTTAAAATCTCTTCTCTCAATGCTTTATCTTCTAATTTAAGATGTGCTCATAATAGGGCACCTGGGTGGCTCAGATGGTTAAGCGTCTGCCTTCGGCTCAGGTCATGATCCCAGGCTCCTGGGATCGAGTCCCGCATCGGGCTCCCTGCTCAGTGCAGAGCCTGCTTCTCCTTCTCCCTCTGCCATTCCCTCTGCTTGTGCTCTTCTATCTCTCTGCCAAATAAATAAATAAAATCTTAAAAAAAAAAAAAAATGTGCTCATAATAAATAACTTTATGTGTAAGCATTTAAGTTATAAGAGGAGTATGAACCTGCTCGGAAAAGAATGTACATTCTCCAAAGACAAACAAGGGTCTTTAGGGAGAAGGTCAGTGTGGTTTTGGCCGTACGGGGGATTTTGTATCGTGTTGCGCAGAAGCGTGATTTTGTTACTGTCTTTATTTGGAGAGTAAGTCTGGTTTAGGGCAATGCATACAGGTGCCAAGTCGAAAAGGGATGGACCGTGGGGTCTTTGTAATGTTTCTACTTGCCTAGGCCAAATTATATTCTCCAGAATTACCTTTCCTGTATGTTTCTGATTAGAGCGGCCCACAAGACTAGAGATTCTCATGGAGATTTGGAGGATGGAAATGAGACAGCGGCCAATTTTAGCTCAAACATGCTGTCATCTGTCTGCCCGCTCAGCTCATTAGCAGCCAGGCCTGCCACGGCTCCACCTTCCCTTGGATCCTCCTGGAGCGTCTCTGCCTCTTGGGCCAGGTGAGTGTGCTTAGCTCTATGATGAGGACCCACCTGGCATGAGTTTCCGTCCCGTGGACTGTCCTCATGGACTCCAGCTCACGGGATGCAGACTGCTTTTCCTTCTCTACTTTAGCTCTACTGTCCCTTCCTGACTGCCGGCCCTCTGTCGCTCAGTCCCCAGCATCACATATTGAAGGCACCAGCCTGAGGAGGACTGCCCACCCAGCTCCCACACTGCATGAGCCCAGCCCCTACACACGCACACACACATGCATGTGCACGCACACAGTTCCACTTCTCTGACTGAATCCTGACTGATACCATAAATCAGATTCAGTTACTCTTCAATGGATTCAGCGTTCCCCACAGCTGGACTCTGCATGTATGGCAATGCCTTTCTCCTCTATACATTGAGCAGCAACTTAATCGATGCAGAGCCCTGGGTCACATCTCGCCTTCCCTGTTGGCATCAACAGTTGCTGAGAAATTTGAAACCAACGTGACTTTGGTTTTTTGTTTGTTTTACTTTTATAAACACTTAATTTTGATACCTTAATGCTGTACACTTCTTTGTTTGATCTTACAGATTGGTAACTTCAGGTGGTACATTGATGTTTGTAGGGTTTTTTTTTTAAAGATTTTATTTATTTATTTGAGAGAGAGAGAGAGCACATGAGAGGGGGGAGGGTCAGAGGCAGAAGCAGGCTCCCCGCCAAGCAGGGAGCCCGATGCGGGACTCGATCCCGGGACTCCAGGATCATGACCTGAGCCGAAGGCAGTCGCTTAACCAACTGAGCCACCCAGGCGCCCCAGAAACGAGATTTCTGAGTCAAAGATGATGGATATTTGTATGGCTCTTGACTCATTTAGCCAATTTGCTTTTTATTTTTATTTATTTATTTAAAGATTTTATTTATTTGTCAGAGAGACTCAGCAAGAGAGGGAACACAAGCAGGGGGAGTGGGAGAGGGAGAAGCAGGCTTCCCGCCGAGCAGGGAGCCCGATGCGGGGCTCGATCCCAGGACCTTGGGACCATGACCTGAGCCGAAGGCAGATGCCTAATGACTGAGCCACCCAGGCGCCCCCATCTGGTTTTTTCTATGAGCTTAAAAAAAAAAAAAAGACCAATTTTTTTTTTTTTAAAGATTTTATTTATTTGACAGAGAGAGACACAGCGAGAGAAGGAACACAAGCAGGGGGAGTGGGAGAGGGAGAAGCAGGCTCCCCGCTGAGCAGGGAGCCGGATGCGGGGCTTGATCCCAGGACCCTGGGATCATGACCCGAGCCGAAGGCAGACGCTTAACGACTGAGCCACCTAGGCGCCCCGATGTGTGTAGTTTTTAATTAATTTTGCCTGATATTTAGTGAGCTTTTTGTGGTTTTCTTTAGTGAGGTTTTTTTGTTTTTTTTGAGAGAGAGAGAGTGAAGAGGGAGGGGCAGAGGGAGAGGGAGTGAGAGAATCTCAAGCAATGTCCGTGCTGAGCACAGATCCCGACAGGGGTCGCGATCTCACAACCTTGAGATGGTGACATGAGCTGAAATCAAGAATTGGACACTTAACCAGCTGAGCCACCCAGGTGCCCCCGTTCCAGGTACTTTTAACCAAGACTGCCATCAGCAGGTAGTAGCTAATACTATGGTGCTAATCATTTTGCAACTTATAAATGTATCAAATCAATACACTGTACACCTGAAATTCACACAATGTGTCAATTGTATCTCAAAAAAAGCTGGGAAAGGGCGCCTGGGTGGCTCAGTTGGTTAAGCGACTGCCTTCGGCTCAGGTCATGGTCCTGGAGTCCCGGGATCGAGTCCCGCATCGGGGCTCCCTGCTCGGCGGGGAGTCTGCTTCTCCCTCTCCCACTCCCCATTTGTGTTCCCTCTCTCGCTGTGTCTTTCTCTGTCAAATAAATAAATAAAATCTTTAAAAAAAAAAAAAAGCTGGGAAAAACAAGACTACATTAGCATCACTACTTCAACTTTTTGGTAAACTCTGGTCAATTTTTTAAAAAGATTTATTTATTTATTAAGATTTTATTTATTTATTTATTTGAGAGAGCCAGAGAGAGCACAAGCAGGGGGAGCAGAAGAGGTAGAGAGAAGCAGGCTCCCCGCTCGAGCAGGTTGCCCAACGTGGGGCTCGATCCCAGGACCTGGGGATCATGACCTGAGCCGAAGGCAGATGCTTAACCGACTGAGCCACCCAGGCACTCCTAAGTTATTTATTTAAGTCATGTCTACACCCAACGTGTGGCTTGAACTCACAACCCTGAGATCAAGAGTCATACGCTCGTCCAACTGAGCCAGCCAAGTGCCCCAAATTTGGTCAAGTTTTGACATTTCTAAAGTGCTTTTATTTTCTGTAATTTTGTTTCTCCTTATTTTCCCGTTATGCCAACTGGCGTTTCACCTTCTGACTGAAATCTCGTCTGCTTCATTTCCTATTTCCTGGACTCCGTGTTTGCTCTAATCTTGAAAGGGAGCAAAGTATTTAGACTTTCCTAATACAAAGCTTCGAAGGAATGTTCCTCATCTATCTTTTGTATCTTGCGTTAACTTCTTGAGTTTCGGTTTTTGTGTGTGTTTTTCAGGTTCGTGTGTTTGCCTACGTCTTTTTGAATGAGGGTGGTTATGGGAATCCTCTAATTCCCCTTCCAGTTCATCTGGTTATTTCTTAGATTGTTCACTGAGTTCTTATTCAGGAAGCTTGGATGTTGTGGATCTATATGATCCATTTAGTCTTCCTGCTGCCTGAGGAAGATGGATGCTAGCAGGTTGGGCAGTAATTACTGGGAATGTATTCCCTGTGGACCACTAACAGCAGAAACACTCAGATTTTGTTGTGTTTCCTGCTTCAGGATGGACCAACCACTTTGGTAAAGAAGCAAAGTCAAGAGACACCTAGGGAGTCCTTGTTTGCTGGGTGTATTAGTTATGTATTGCTGCATAATAAGGTACCCATAAACTGTGACTTACAACATTTATTATCTGGTAGCTTATGTAGGTCAAGAACGTGGGTATAGCTTACCTGGGTCCTGTACTTGAGGGTCTCCCGAGGCTGTCAGCAAGGTCTTGGCCGGGGCTGCAGTTGAGACCCCAAGGCTCCAGTGGGGAAGGACCTGCTTCCAAGCTCACACTCAGGAGGTTGTCTGAGATTCAGTTCCTCCCAGGCTGTTGGACCGAGGGCCTCCCCCAGTTACTTGCCCTGGGAACCTCTCCCTAGGGCAGCTCACAATGTGGCAGCTTGATTCATCAGAGCAAGCAAGAGAGGAGTCAGAGTTCAGGCAGGATCAAGGTCACCGTCTTAGATCTCAAAAGTGCTATCTCATCGCCTTGGCCTATTCTGTTCTTTAGGAGCAAGTCATCATGTCCAGCCTACCCTCGAGCAGAGGGGATTACAGAAGGGCATGAGTACCAGGAGCTGGACCATCATCAGGAATCATTTAGAAGCCAGCTGTCATGGTGGGTCGACACTCGGTCTTCTCGTATTTGCTTCTGTCTTTCCTCACCTCAGATCTCTTCTTGTCAGCAGCAGGGTCCGTGGAGAAAGCATGGTGACACGTGGCCTGTGGGCTCTCCTCACTCCCCACACTCCCCACACTCCTGCAGTGGAAGAGTGAGCTCACCAGGCTGTTTTCCGTCTGTCCTGACACCTGCCCGACTCGAAGTCCATCTTAAAAGTGGGAGGAATAGTAGTGCAACCCTTAAGAATTGCTTGCACTCCCTTTGCACCACACTGCATTCCTGCCTTGAAGGGAGGCGCTGTGTCTCACACCTGCTTCTCTGAAAGTTTGGTCCAGATGAACAACAGATAACATGAACACCGTGTCACAGCCTTTGGACATTTATTCTATACTAGATGCTTTGTGTGGATTTTCACATCTAATTCCTGAAGGCTTCTGAAGTCAAGTACAATAATTTGTTGCCCTTTTATTTTTTATTTTTTTAAAGATTTTATTTATTTATTTGACAGAGAGAGATAGC